ACCTTTGCAGCTGGTTTCACATTGCCAGGAATTTTAACTTCGATCCGAATTAATAAAGGGGATATATGGCAATTCTACTAAATAGAATCGTCATACCTTTATTAGGCCTTATTAGAATCGATATCTCTTGGCGATGCGAAACCAATTGCGAAAATGATTGTCACTAATTAATAGACCGGCTACAACTAGATGTGTTTGAGTTGCCTTAGCTTCTTCTTTTCTTCAATGAAAGAATGAAATTGTTGCTTGCAAAGTAGAAGGGAAGTATATCTAAGAAGGTGAGAATTGAGACTCAATATATAGATATTGTTGGACGCTTTAACTATGTGAAAAATGTAGATGAAAAGGTGTGTTTGGTAGGAACATTGAAAATGTTTTTCTAGTAAAATAATTTGATTTCTTTGTTTATTTTTCTTATATTTGGTATATAATAAAAAATATTATTTTAAAAATATTTGTATATAATCTGATATGATAGAAGATGGAGGTAGAAGGTAGGGGTGCGTCATGAGTGGTGTGGTAAGGATGGGCGCTACAGAAGCAAAGTGAAGATGAGATGTGTTGGTGAGTGAGGTGGATCAAATGAATGTGAAATATTGAGCTTGTTTATTTTCCTTATTTTGAAGAAAAAATTGATTTTTTTTAAAATCAAACGAGCATGAAAGAAATTAAAAAGTATTTTTCTTCATATACCAAACACATATAGTCTCTCCGTTTCAATATGTTATTTAACTGGGCATATAATTCAAGAAATATGAAAAGACTTTACAATATGTCAAAATTATCCTTAATATATATATAAAAAAGTTAGAAGAATACACTTTTGTAGACTAGTTGATAAATGAACAGAATACAACAAATAAAATATTAATAATATTATTAAACATATTATTTTATTTTATTTAAATTAACTAAAATAATATATCGTATAAATTGAAACGAAGAAGTAGTTTCTTTTTGTTGATAACCACGCCATCAATACCTGTGGGCAAAACCACGTTGAAAGTATAAAAAGTGGATGCTTTAGCTATTGGAGAATGTGCAGAAAAGTAGATTAAACAAGGTTTCAGATTACATTACTCTTTAATTTCTTTATTGTTTCTCAATTGCTTTCTTTTTCCTCCACTTTCTCTTTTTTGACTTTGGTGGTTTGATTCAGAATCAAGTTATTCCAAATTATAATTTGGATGTGTTCCATTTTTTTATTTAATTTTGGACAATTAGTATCCAACCGTTCAATCTGAATCAAAATAAAAATTTAGTTTGATTCGATTTTTTTTTTCGTCCATTTGATTTAACATATAAGATAATTCAGATATGGTAAAATCAACTAGTATCTGGTATGTTCAATCCTACACTACAAATTTAAGTGTAGTACGGTCATAGTAATAATAAACTCAAGGAAGGTTGAGGTTGATTTCACGAAGAGCAAGTGCATGTCAAAATGTGAAAAGTGTCTGAGCGTACGAATATGTGAATTTTCTAAGCTTATTTTTAAATGAAAGAGTGATTGAGTAATATTGATTTAAAACTAAACTATTTTCTTAGTTAAGAATCTAATTGAACGCTTGAAATGCAAGAAAATATGATTTGTTTTTATATTTTCTAAAGTGATCAAAAGTGTAGTTTCAATATGACATACATATTCATGAATATAAGTATCTTGCTTACATATAAGAGATTGATTATGATTCAATTGTCTATTTACTACTCCCTCTGTTTAAAAAAGAATGACTTCATTTCTTTTTTAGTCTATTTCAAAAAGAATGACCTCTTTATTTTTTTGGTAATATTTTAATTTCAGTTTTCCACGTGGCATATTTAAGGCCACAAGATTAAAGGGCAATTTTGTACATTTGACATAACTTTAATTTAGGACCACAAGATTCAAAAAATTTCTTTATTTTTTAAAATTCGTGTCAAGTTAAACTAGGTCATTCTTCGTGAAACGAAGAGAGTAGAATTTTACAACTCAGTCCAATCAAATGATCGACCGCTGCCAATATATGGTAACAAAAATGTATTGTTCGGGGATGGTGGGGCGAGATGGTCAATGGGTGGGAATTGGGGATATTGGGTAACGCCGTAGCTAGGGGTGTGCAAAAATCGAACCGACCGATAAATTGAACCGAAAAAAGTGTTATTGGTTTATTGTTATTGGGTTATCGAGTTAACGGTTATTTAATGGTTTTACAAAAAAGAATTATCGGGTTATCGATTCGTTATTGGTTTTTTAATATTGGGTTATTGGTTTAACTGATAACCCATTAAGAATATAATAATTTACTATTTTAATTTTTAATTATACATATATAATATATTAAACAAAAAATATTAATATAATCAGTAGTATATTAGACTAAAAATATAAAAACCCTACACAATAATTAACACTACTTAACAATTAACTCTCCTCTCTACTTTTAGTTATTTAACCTTTAGGTTTTACTTTTTAGTATTACTTATTTACTTTAGTTAGTTTATAATTGACTAATATTAGCTTCAACGTAAGAACTTCATTTAGTTGAGTCTTTTCTTTATATATGATTTACCATAAGCATGACCTCATTTGCTACTGTTTTGACTTTTGTCTATGATTTGGTTTTATTTGATTCTCTTTATTGCATAAAGGGGACCTCGTTTTATATATTATGGTGATCGAAAATTAACCAAGACTTTGTTGTGATGACCAAAATACAGCAAGTTGGTCCCTGTTATCCCGTTTGGGATGATTATTTCGATGTATGCGTATTGCGTCAAATTATTGGATAAGTCACATATTTGTTTTAAAAGCATTTTCTTATAGGTTAAACCGAAAATCGAACCGTTAAAGATTTAAAACCGATAAACCGATAACAAATATCTTATTGGTTTGGTTATTGATTTAGCATATTTAAAAATCAAAAACCAATAATACTTAAAACCGAATCGAACCGAATCGACCGATACACACCCCTAGCCGTAGCGGGAAAGGAGACAATGAATATGGAATGTCACTATTAATGAAACTCGTATTTCCTATTCTTATTAGAGAAATCATTTCCCTCATTTTTAAGGAGCTTATTTTTCTAAAAAAAAATTTATCTAAATATTTTGACCAATCAAACTTAAAAAATATAAAGAACATTTTTTGAAAAATTCCTCCGTACTAAGCACAAAGTCTATTACAATTTGCACCGTGGGTATTTTAAATTCAAAGTAACCATTCAAATTTTTACCTCCTTTTTTGGCAATATAAATATGCAGATTTGTTTACAAGTTAAAATTCGTTGTTTACCTTAATGAAATAACTTATAGTCACGTAAAATATAAATATTTAAGATTTATTTTAGATCATAAATTTTTAAAATATAATTTTTTAAAAATTTTATATTTAGTTAAATAGTGTCACATAAAATAAGACGAATGGAGTAATAATATACTCCCTCCATCCCACATTAATTCTCCATTTTTTTCATTTATACGTCTTTTAAAAATTCATAAATAAAAAGGAGAGTTTTATTAATTTACCCCTTAAGAAATGTTTTTGCAACTTTACAAACTTGTTAACATTTTTTAAACGAATTCATTCTCTTAATTTTGTAATGCAAAATTGTTAAGTAACTTGACAATTGTTTTTACCACTACTAGAAACAAAATTTTCCTACCACAAATTAATGTGAAAATTTATAGAATATGATTTTCTCGCTCATTTCTCACCAAACTAGCTCACTAAACAATATATGATGGAAACAAATTCTTATTGAAAGAGTGAAAGCCTTCTTAATTTTTCAGACTGATTTAATCAAAATATCTATAGAAATAATAATTTGAGTGAGGACAATAATAAGATTATTTTTTTTGGTTTCTCACCCAGTATTCAGTATCCACATTTAGGGGTGTTCATGGTTTGGATAAAAACCGATCCAAGCCAAAAAACCAACCAAATCGATTAAATAGCCGATTTTATTTGGGTTTGTTTTGGTTTTACATTTTTTAAAACCGATAGTATTTAGGTTGATTATGGTTTTGTTCGAAAAAAAACCTAAAGAAAGATCTGAATCAAACCGACAAATTATATACATATATTTTATTATTATACATACATAATATATTATTTTTATAAACAATTTTAAAGATCTTATATATGTTTTCATCAAAATTTATTTATAATTTACTTATGAAAAGAAAAATGTGCAATGTGAGAACATTTATCTTATTGGTTTCATGCAAGGGCGGAGCTAGGTGGGGGTTCATGGGTTCAGACAAACCCAGTAATTTTTTCGTAGACCCTATATTTATACTAGAAAATTAAGTAATAACTTCTGAACACCTAACAAAACTGATTGACAAATCAATGGTATGGAAGGAGAAAGAAATTTAGAACCTCCAAACTCTTAATGCTGACTCCGTCTCTGATTTCATGTATATGAGTGTGTATGAAAATTTTTTGTGTGATTGAAAATGTCATTGTCTCTTCCTTCTAGGCCAAAATACTGCATTTTGAAGCTTTATTCATAGTAAATTCAATGATCGAAAGTTATGTAATTTTAGCTATTCTAACTATTTTTCGTTTTGAATGTATTGTTGTGGCTTTTTTCACGCTTTGAATGAAGTGTTTTTTTTTGTCTGATTAATAACTGAATAACCGAATTAAATCAAATTGAAACCGATAACAATCAAACCAATAGATATATATATCATATTTAGTTTTGTTTGGTTTTGATAATATTAAAACCGATTAAGTTTGTTTGGTTTTGATTTTGACCAATAATCGATCCAAACTAATCTGTGAACACCTCTACCCACATTGAAGTCTGATTAAATTTGAATTCGCGTCAAAAAGTTTTACAATAATGATAAAATGCTCCCTAACAAAGGAAACTCTGTATCCAGAGAGACTCGAACAATAATATGATTTTAATACAGTAATAACGTGACAACTAATATGAACAAATGGAATCCACGTATGGGGAGAGGGGGGGAAATATTTATTGGTGGAAATAAATTCACTTCATTGTCTTTCTTAACTGTTCTAAAATTTTCTGTTTGGTGGAAATGAATTCCATTCCTTTCTCCATTGTTCCATACATTCCTTCAAAGCAGCCATTGTTACTCTGTACCAAAAATTCCCAAACAACAACTGATACAATTCCACATTTTATCAAATCCTCAATACTCACGTCTTCTTCGAAATCTGTGAATAAACTCGCAGAAACAATTAGTCCAATTGTCTTTTTCGTTCAATAGAAGAGAAACCCTAAGTGCTTTCGGATTGGGTTTTTCGGCGATTTTGTTTGAGGCTCTTTTGCAGCCGCAGTCGAATATTGAAGCAATTGCTGAAGAAGCTGCAGCTACGGAATGTGAATTCACAGTTACACCTTCAGGTCTTGCTTATTGTGATAAAGTTGTGGGTTATGGACCTGAAGCTGTTAAAGGACAATTGATTAAGGTAACTAATTATTAGTCTTTAAACTTCTCTTTGATTTCATCATTTGATTTGATTTATATTTTATGGTTATTTGTTTAGGGGAAAAAAATTATTTTCACCTAGTTTTAGAAGAATTAACCTAAATAGTCGTGTAACCAACTCTCGTTGGTAGCTGGTCTGGAGATGAGTTATGCAGCTATTAAATTTTGTATATCTCGACTACTTCCACGTAATACCTCCCAACTCCCACTAGTAACAGGTACAAGATAACTATGTCCACCAAGGCTAGTATTGATAGGAAGGAATACCTAGTGTATATATCTTCACTGGGTTTTGAACCTGAGACCTCATGAATCTCAACCACTTCATTGACACGTAGGCGACATCCTTGGGTGCAATGATGTATTATTTTATAAAGGGTAGATAATGAGATAACTAATACATAAATAACTAAACTCTGCATTACTCTAACCTACTACCAAATGACTCCTAAGTTCATTTGGTACGACATAAGTCATGTTTCATGTGTTCGGTTGGTGAGTGGCAAGTTTATCCGGAAAATATATAGTATATATTAAGATTAATGATAACATTAGTAAATCGGAGAGTGTATTGATGAAAATTTTGATTAGAGAAGATTAATATACTAGTGTCTAAGTGTTAGTTGGAGCAAGTAATATGAAGTTAAAACCCAAAATCATTGTAAGGAATTTGACTTTTGTTCATGTGTGACGGCAAGGGAAGTCATTTTTCCCCTGTATGTACATTTATACGGTAACCAAAGACCAGAAACTGACTTCCGTTGTGCCAAAGAGGAATACTAGTCCCAAGTTAAGTGATAAATATTTCTGCAAAAGACACATGTATGCACAAATTTAGGTAAAAAAAGTATAATTCTTTTTGTTGCCTCTCGTCATTATAGCCAAGAAAGTAAGTGGCTGCATTTTTATATGAGCTTCTTAAAAAGTTCAGAGGTAAACTAGCAAAATGGGATCAACATAAGAGGAAAGTTTCGTAAAGTTAGTACATCCTGGGAGGTGCGTTGAGATTCATACAGAACCTATTAATACTACAGAGATACTCAAGAAGTACTTGAAATACTGCATTACCCAAGTTTTCCTGGATCGTTTTCGTCTTGAAGCAGTTCTGCTTATGTAGTTCTTAAGAAGACAACTTATTATCTTTTGAAGGTCAAAAAACAGCAGAATCAACAAATGTGACTAGCAATTCCCTCATTTCAACAGTCATGATTTTACTTCCCTAAGTACTAGTCAAACCTCATTCTTCAGGTAAAATCAATGCAACAAGAATCATGAAGAACCTAGTCTTAATGTTCAGAATTCAAATCTTAAGGAAAAACAGTTGAACTAGTTTAACACCTTTGCCCAATCTTTTACATGTGTGTTTCATGTAGCTAACTCTATAGTTTGTCCCACAATAATATATATAAAAAATACATAATATGGTTAAGTTATGTTGTTGATACAAAACAAAGCAAAGTGACTTTAGTAGATAAATTCATCAAGTTGAGTGACCATTTGAGAAAAATTTTCCAAAAGAAATTGATTTATTAATTAGAGGAAAAACTTACTCTGAAAAAGCTATTTGGTATAGTAAGACTAGATGTTTGAGCTCTTCCTTAATTTTTTTCTCTTCTATACTGAGTCGTATCACATTATTATTAAGAGATTATGTTGTTCAGGCACATTATGTAGGTAAACTGGAAAATGGGAAGGTCTTCGATAGCAGCTACAATCGTGGAAAGCCTCTTACATTTCGCGTTGGTGTTGGCGAGGTAAGTTATTTTGTTATTCTATAGCAGATTAGCAGTAAGAACTGGACAAAGAAATTTAGGTTATCCCTATGACTATCTATTGTTCTCCTCGCAGAGCCGTAGAGTGGTTCTAGTGTTGATTGACTAGATCCTTGATCCCAGAGGTTTATCTACATCCAGTTCCTTCTATAGTACCGAATTAGTATCCAATCTTGTAGCTTGATATAAAGACTAACTACGCTAGCTGTTCTCACCAGAAACTTATATCTTCAGCATGGAGTAGCAACCAGGAATATTAGTCTGAACTCCCCGAAACCCCCTCTTTGTAACGACTTCAAGTCACCCTTCGTACAGCCCCTTATGAGCTAATTTGCTAGAGAATGGGGCGTGACTACTTAATGGGGGGATTCACCGCAAATACTAGCTTTGCTCATTATTGCCGAGATAATGGTCTACTATTGACTCTTCCCTGAGTAACACTGTCCCCATTTGTACTACGGATCCTGTTACTGTATCGTCTAATGCTCCTTGTACTTTTATCCCTTAAGTAATAATAATATACTATGTTTCTTCTAGAGCCATAAGAAAAAACAAACAAACTATTGTCCTATGAATATAACTTTACAATGTTTAATGGTAAGATGGTTTACTCTTTCTTTCTGCTTATTATTTCCTGTTGTAGGTTATTAAAGGTTGGGATCAGGGAATTCTAGGAGGTGATGATTTTCCTCCAATGCTAACTGGTAGGAGCAAATTTTGTACATCAAATTTCTTCATACTTGTAGAATTTTTTTAAAAAAGTTACTATCTCATCACTTAAATTTCAGGAGGAAAGCGTAAACTAAAGATTCCTCCAGAACTTGGATATGGGATAAGAGGAGCTGGTTGCAGAGGAGGTAAGCAAATTCAACGAACGATTCCCAGTTACATACTTTTTTTTTCTGTTTAACCATCCGATACCCAAAGTTCACTGTCCCGACTTGTTCTAGGCCTGTAAAAGGGTAAATCGCTCTCTACGAAAAGATTTTCCATTCTCAGAGTTCGAAACCAAAACATTTGGTTAAGGGGATAGGGATCCCTACTATCCTACCACACTAATATGTGGGGTCTGCCAGTTGCATATGTTCTTTTTCTGCTTAACCATTCAGTACCCAAAGTCCACTGACCCGATTATCTAGGCCAGCTAGATGGGTAAAGCGCTCTCTAGCAAAAGATTTTCCCTTCATAGAGCTCAAAACCGAGACTTCTGGTTAAGGTTAGAGGGACCCCAATCATCACGCGACACCCGTCTGTGGTACCGTGCAACTGCATATGTGGTAGGTGTAAATAATGTCCTAACTGTCACATACTGGTGGTTTAGGTACATGCATTATTCCTCCAGACTCTGTTCTATTGTTCGATGTGGAGTTCGTTGGCAAGGCATAGATTTCAGCAACAGAGGTATAGTTTCTTCCATGAAGCTATTCATAAAATGATTGATCTTCTTTGCAGCCAATTTATGAAGTGCTACATATGTCAGGTTAACTGGTTTATCAATGGGCAAATTTTTTGTAAGCTGCAGCGCAAATGATAATGCGTGTCAATACTTGAGATTTTTCGAGTACATACCATGACCTGTTTGTATATTTTTGGTTAGATTTACAAAAAAAAACAATTATTTCGTACAGAATGTTAGTAATTTTGCAGGGCAATCAATAAGGATTGTGGTGGAGTGGTAAGTATTCATTCATCCTTAATCAACACCAATAGGTGTTGGGTTCGAGTCTCTAGGGTACAGAAATCACCTTTGTTAGGAAGCGCTTTACCCCTAATGTGAGACTTTCTAGCGTGAATTCAGATTTAATCGGGCTCCAATGTGGGTATTGGACACCTGATGGGGAACCAAAAACAAAAATTGCAGGGCAGCTACTTTTTACAACGCCATTTAAGGCGCAACACTTCTAGATCTCCCGTAGTCCCATGTGTGCCATCCATTTACAAACAGTGTAGGATAGGACGGAATAGAAATAGACCAAGTGCCCGGTTCTAGCTCAATGGCAAAATCAATATCACGCTCACGAGGAAGGCTCTCCCTATCAACACCGCACACATAACTGTTAAGCCAAGTAAGCCAAGTCAGATGATCTCCGATATCATAAAATAGAATAAATTACTCTTTCCGTTCACTTTTATTTGTCACTTATTCTTAAAAATATATTTTCATTTTTACTCATTACTTTTGACATATCAAAAAAAGACAATAATTTTTTTCATGTTTTACCCTCAGCATTAAATACTTAATTTCCAAATAATTTTTTTAAGACATCATTTATTAGGAAATAGTTTGATAAAATACCTATATCATTAATTATTTTCTTAATGAGTATGTCAAGTTAAATTGTGACCATTAAAGTGAGCGGAGGGAGTAAAAGGCATGTTATGATACTTGAGGAAAAAATGGAGTCGATAGAATTTGCCATCTTGTCAACTATTCTATGTGGAATCATTAGTCAAACTGTCATCCCTCAATTGAGATAATTGCTTCCCGCATCTTCACGTGGCATTAATTATAGGGAAAAAGGACAAATATACCTCCGAATTAACGAAAATGGTATACAAATACCCTTCGTTATACTATTGAGACACTAGAGCCCCTACCGTCCAAAAAGTGGTGCATCTATGCCCTTCTCTCTAACGGAAGGACACGTGTCGTCATCCTATGAATCTACCCTTATTATTCACCAAATTCTAAACCCACAACCCAAATTAAAAAGACATACCCAAATAACCCATAACCCACATTGTCAAGTCAATTTCAACGTCTTCAAGGTCCGGTGAGCTGCAGCGAGAGCTGCGCGGTCCTTATCCTGACGAAATCATCGGAGGGAACGAAATTCATCCCCTGCATTTTGAAAGGCGTCGTAGGAGGCGAAAGTTGCTAATTCCTTTGTACCACTCTTTCTCCGCTGAAGCTTCTGAGGCTTTTCCACCGAAGGTGATAGCTCCGTTGGAAGCGACGACGGCATAGAAGCTGACGGTGGTTGAGCCTCTTGTTTTTCGTTGTGCTCAACTTCAGGTTCATTACTCTGCATTTCAGCCTTGTATGAAAGGATCTTCTCTTTTTCAAATTCACCTGAGGTTCCTTCCATGAGCTAATCGGAGGAGGTTTTTCCGGCAATAAAGGTTCAGATGGAGAAGAACGACTTTAAAATGTATCTACTGGAATCACCTCAACATCAGGTTCTTCCCTCTGCTTCTCGCTCCGCCGTTAACGGTGACTATCATACTCCGATATCGTAGAACGTAAAAATTCACACCAAAAAGAGACATTTAAACCCCTTTCTGCATATTGTGCAGAGTATTTCTTTTTCTTCAAAATTTTGAACAGTAAAATATTTATTTATCAAACTAATTCATTATTTCAATTTCATTTTCAAATGAACTTTATATATTATATCAATATGGATCCATGTCCAAATGTATGTTTACTTAGAAATTGATCCTTCCATTGACTTGTTTCTATTGAATCTGGAAGGAAATTATTAAGTCATTGATATTGAAAGTTTACATGCATTGCAACAAGTGTGAACTTGATCTAAAAAGGAGGAGAGGGTGGTTGTCGGTGGCGTTGACGGAGGAGTGTGGTGGTTGGTTGGGACCAGATAGGTGGAGAGTCTCCATCTAGTTCCATGGAGACTGGAGTGTAAAAGGGGTTTTTTCCCCTTCATTTTTTAGGAGGGTCATTTTAATGGGTGGGTTAGGGGGTTATTTGGGTGGGTCTTTTTAATTCGGGTTGTGGATTTAGAATTTGGTGAATAATAAGGGTAGATTCATAGGATGATGACACGTGTCCTTCCGTTAGAGAGAAGGGCATAGATGCACCACTTTTTGGACGGTAGGGGCTCTAGTGTCTCAATAGTATAACGAAGGGTATTTATATACCATTTTCGTTAGTTCGGGGGTATATTTGTCCTTTTTCCCTTAATTATATAAACAATTAAGAAGTTACTAAACTACCATAATAATAATAATATTTAAAAAATGCTATGATACACTAAAGCTCTCCATACGTGGTTTTATGTACTTTCTCTATTTTACTTGCTTTGTAATTTTTAATTTATAACAGTTATTTCCTTCATCTCAATTATGTGACATTTTCTTTTTATCCTAAAAAGAATTTATGTTATCGATATTGATGCTTGACTAATTTGTATTTGCGCCAAAAAATCTCACATAGAGAATAAAGTACTCACTAATAAAGGCGAGTTTGTATCCAAAGAGACTCAAATTCAAGACTTCTTGATTAAAAATAATTCTAACCAACTACCATACGATTTCTCAATTCTCACACGTCCACTTGGAAAGTTTAGGATATGAGGAAATCTATTCAGCCAATAAGCTTTTAGAATTTGATATTAAAGTTGACCCACAAATTGATTATTAGTAATAATTTATTATTATTTTGATTTTTCTCTCTCTCACTTTTTCTTTTAATACTTTGGTGAGTAGCTTGCTGAAAGGAACTAAAGTGTTGCGTAAACCGTGTATGGATGTGACTTTAATATTATCCTAGATGTTGAGTAGTGTAAATTTTCTGTCCACAACAAATTGATGGGTTGGAAAGAGTTCGTTGTACCAATTAAAGTGTATTATTTTAAAATGTTTTTACTTAAGTTGGGTAGAAAAGGGTGGATTAGGAATTGAATTGAATTGTATCGTAATGTCTTTGTCTTACTAGCAAGAAAAAAAAGAAATCTCTTTTTATTGAATTAATATTGTGTTAAGTTAAATGTTGATAACTTCTATAAACAAATATTTGAAAACACTTTCAAATTTTAGATAAATTAATTTATCTTTTTGTTTTAATGAGTTAAAATGGAATATGAAAATAGGAATACCAAAAGGGCGTCTTTATTTCACAATAATGACATACTTGGAGTAATTCTACGAGTGGAGTTTGAAGAGGGTGGTATGCATGTACTATGTAGCCTTGCTTCTGTCTTGTGAAGGTAGATAGATTGTTTTCGATAATCCTCTGTCTCAAGTAAAGTATATCAAATCAGATATGAAAAGAAAATACATTAGAGAAAGGAACAATAGCAATAACAAATAAAATGATAATCGAAGTAAAGAAAACAACACGTAATAATAAAATCGAAGAAAAATAATAAAAGAGTAATACTCCTATCTTGGATTATGTCCTTGATAATCGGCTTGTTATGTCATGTATAATTATTTTTCTCCAATATGTCTTCGGCCTACATCTATCTTTCTTCGGACCCACCATAATCAACTTTTCACACCTCCACTGAGACATTTGGTGCATCTTTCTTTCACATGTCAGAATCATCCTAGTCTTGCTTCCCTCATCTTGTTCATCAGGCAACCACTCTCACCTTGTTTTGATATCTTTGTTTCTAATCATTTTTCATAGTATGACCACACATCCATCTTAATATTCTTAATCCCATTGGGTTCATCTTCTGAGCATGCAAATTTTTGACTAATACAACATTTTTATCTCACAAGCACTGAATGTGAGTCTCAATCTCATCCACCCCACTCTACTACGATGTATAACATCATCGCCAATCTCACCATTTTCTTGAATTATTGATAAAAAATTCTTGAAACTTCCTCTCTTAGGATGACTTGTGAATCTATTCTCACTCTAAAACCTGTCACATGAGTTACGTCACTGAACTTGCATTCTAAATAAATACTCCATCTTACTCATGTTCAACCTAAACCTTTAAACTCCACGGTCTACCTCCAAACACCAATCTATTGTTAACTTCATCACATGCATATCTCATTAATTAATATTATGTCATTTCTAAATAACATACATAGCTACACCTCCCCTTAAAAAAAACAAATTAAGAGTGGATTCCTAATACAATTCCATCACAATTGAGAAACGTTTCAAAAATCTCCTCACTTTGATCTTGATGTCCTTGTTTCACATAACTATAATATTCTCAAATTAAAGTGGAGTATGACTATCTCTATATTTGTGTAGCGTGTAAAGAAAAAGCACACGCCAACCACATTTTTCACTAAAATCTACTATTCTCCTTTACACTATTTGATCGATCCATCAGTTTCCTTGAGACTGCTTTTCTCCTGGTATATTCCAAAAATAATATTCCAACCATCTTAATTTATGTGGTATCATTTAATTCTGACGTAAAATTATATTATTTTTATTTTTATTTTTAATTTATGGCTTAAAAGAAATGTTGAACATTTATGTGAGTTATAGATTATTTATTAAGAGTAAAATGAAATTTTTTAAGAATAAATTATTTTTAACTATAAAAAGGTGGCATTCTTGAGACAAACTTGAAAATAAAAAGAATGTCGCGTAAATTGGAACAAAGAGAGTAAAAATTATGGCACTCAATATTTGTATTAATATGAAAAACTAAATAAGCAATTACAAATTACACCAACAAGGGTTGTGATGAAGTGGTAAGTATTCCTTCATCCTTAACCAACATGAGGTCTTGGG